TGAGAGTATACCTAATTCACGTTTTTGAAAAATAGATATACCATTTAGTAAACAATAAGCAATGTTATAGCTAGTATTGTCTGGACTGAGCGAAATGCCTGCTTTCACTATCGCCCGTATTCACAAACGATGCTTGCTTAAGTGAAGCAGCAAATCGAACGTACAGCGTTGAATAGAGCTCTGTGATTGGTTCGTGTGTCACCCTGTGCGTCCACGCGCACTGTGAGATTTCATAGTATTGTTTGTGAATACGGGCGTATGTCTTCCAGTCCGTGGTCAATCGAGAACTTTTCAGCCCCAATGACCATTATAAGCTATTGCCCCGCCCACTGCCATTTAAGTTTGGCCATATAAATGTTTATTTCTATCAAAAAAGAAGTTTGAGTATTGTTTCTAACGGGGCTTATTGTAAGTCTTTATTTCTTAAATACCGCTTTGAATTGGCGAGTGATGACAAAAACTCAGAGACCAGTGCCGGCTGCAGTTTAAAAAAATCACACATTGTTTCTGATTAACGTACCTCTTGTAAGTTGAGTATAGTATGCCCCAAATCGTCAGCAACATTGTTGAAGAACGTCAACATCGATGTCCGGATGAACTCCGGACAGTTCTTCACCAGAGACTTGGCGTCGATGCCCTTTACAAGCACTTGGAGACAGCGGACGGTGATCCGGACGTCCGGCCCGAAGGCTGCCAACCTGGGTGGAAAATAATAATTAACAAAATCATTTCAAAACTAACCAGTCACCTAGGTCCCAACTAGGATAAATATTTATGTTTTTTATTTAACCTCCGACATAAAAAGAGGCGTGTTATAAGTTTGACGTTCTCGGGTCTATAGAGCCGAAGTTCCTAAACGAATGGATCGAATATGACGCACTTTTCTTTTTTTGAAAGATTAGAATGGGGTGTTCTTAGCTAGGTACGATAAAATTAAATCTGTCCAGCCGTTTGGAGGTCATTGCCTCTTTTCTACCTAATGAGCATGACGTGGTCCATGGTGTAGTAAAGATTGACGTTAACCTGAACTCAGCTATTACAACCAAAAGTTGAAGATTTTAAACTTTCGCGTTCCATTTCAACTAAAATAGTAAGACACGGGTCTTAACGCGACGTTTATTAATGAGTTAGGTACATTACTGAAGTCTGCTTGTGACCACGGCTGCAGCATCGCAGTCGAAACGTCAAGCCGTGAGTACATAATGTAACTTATTAATAAACGTCGCGTTAAGACCCGTGTCTAACTATTTTATTCAAAAGTTGAAGTTTTGTGTTTGCATGCTTCATAATATTTTATTCAAGCAGAACACCTTCCGAACCATGCTTTGATGCAAACAGAGATTACAGAGATATTTAATTTGATTACTAACCTGGACCTCAGCAAGCTGGCCAGCTTGCAGAAGAGAGCGGCAACCATTTCTTTCTCTTTCAAACTGGCCGCACCGACGTTATTGGTCGCCGTCGCAACCGCTATGAAGTAGTTGCGGTGTGTCGAGAAATATTTCTCCATTAGGGGCAACACCACCTGTATGGAAGAAGGAAGTTTAATACTTTTGGTTCAGTAGATTAAATGCCAAAATCAAGCTTATAGCTGCATATGTATAGGAGGAATTTTAGCGTGTGCTGTAGACTTTTCAGTGATGACACTTTTCGTTTCTATAATAATATGTGTAGAGAAGTATTTGGCAAGACACACAATGAAGAAGGAACTATAATCCTTATGATTCAGTAGACCACACGCCAAAATCAATGTTTATGATTGTAACTGGTGATGTTAAGTGATGATTTTGTTTCTAAATGGGCAGCATGGCAGTACTTAGATTATAGTCCAGTCAAATTAGACATGAACCCTGCAATAATTCGCATACAGCTGAAAATTGGTACGAATGTTCGGAGCCCC